TTTATACAATCTACTTACTTTACAACCCGAAGAACAGTCTAGTAAAGTTTCAAATGAAACGGTTGATTTTTTTTTTTTGTAATCATATGATGTGTCTCCTATCATATGATTTCAATATATAAATAGTGGGGTAACCACAGTGCATAAAATTGAACTTCTGTCATGCTCTATTTTTTAATAATTTCATTTATATATCCCATACTCTCTGCAGTCTCTGAATTATTTAAATTTTCTAACCTTTTAATTTGACTAATTAATATTTTTCTAAATTTTTTTTTAATTCTTTTTGTTCTTTAACTTCATTAACAACCAAATCCTTTGTTTGATTATTCAGTGCTTCTTTTACATTATCAACTATTTGTTTTGTTGCCAATTTTTCTTCATTATCACTAATTCTAGATAATTCTTTTATTAGATCCTTTAAAATTTTCTTGAAATCAATAATCAGATTTTCGTTTTCAATTATTGAAAGATTATAATTTAGATAGAATGAAATTAATATGTTATCTTTTCAGATTCATCATCATTAAAATGTTTAACTACTAGAGTAAATGATATAACACAAAAAAAAAGAATTATTCTGTATTTACAGAATTTGTACTTAGCAGAAATCCATATTTCAAAGCTGGATAAACAATTATAATAATAATAAAAATGTGCTTTAAAAATCTTAAATTTTTTAAAAAAATAAGACATTCAAAATTCTTAAATAAAGTTATATAATAAGCGGACAAATTATTACACCTATAAACCCTAAAATCATCACTATAAATATCACAATATCAATATACTTTAGATATATGCATTTATCGGATTCAAAAACATTAATGAAAGAATAATATATATTGTATTGTCAGATATTAAGACTGTTGAATTAAAGTCAAATGTGTCAGGAATGAAAATTGAAAAAAAAGCATAAAAATATCGTATATTCAGCCAAACATGTTTTAAACATCATTCTAACTTTCTTGCTATTTTTTTCTGAGCTCATTAATGTAAAAAAATTTCAAACTTTTCTTTGTAAATGTGATATACGTAAATGTCTAATGATTTGGTCAAGAATAATTAATATCAGCATTGAATACTTGGTTCAAGTGGTCCTTAGTCCACAAATCAAGGCCAGTCTAGATAAGTCAGTCCATAGAAGTATATCAAATTTATCATGTGCAGTTTATTGAGCCCATTTAATTTAAACTTGAGAAAAAACTTATACAATTTTTTGCAATAATCAATGAAGCACAGCTGAAATTAAATCAAAAAAAAAGAAGTCCTGGAATTATAAATAACGATAATCAAATCTGTTAAACAAAAATCCAGTTTTTGCATTCCCATTGGTTGAAATTGGATTGTTCCTGAATCAGACTTAATTAGGACCAGCTTAATAGGCTAATTCATGAACCTTAGCCTAGTCCATGGTCTGCTTCTGGACTTGGTCCTTTAGACCAAGACCGAACCATGATAGACCGTAACATCCCTATTATTAACTTGTTCAAAGAGCCATCTCTGTAAAATCTCATTTTTACCTGTTTTATTCTTGGTTCTACCTGTATTATTGATTTGTGTTATATGTTATCGTTATATAAATTTTTCTATTTTAAACTTCATTTTCAATTCACGCAAAATGAGGCTTGGCATTACAACGGTTTATTCATTTATATATCAAATTAGAACTAATCTATAAATTACTGTTATTTATGAATTTGTTTACTCGATTTGGGGATAGCTAAAGCCATGTACCCATGTGATTATTCGAAGTTTTAATTAAATTAGAATTAGAAATAATTTAGAATTAGGGTTGGGTTAGAGTAAATTTATAGGTAAAATCATCTCTCTGACATTTTTTGTTAATGCTTCAAGACAGGTTAAGACTGCCGTTTTTTATATTTTTTTTCATTTTCTTTATTTTTTAACTTCGTGTAAACAAATTTCGCGATCCCGGTTGGTTGATTTACACAAAAAAGTCACGTGAGTACATGGCTTTAGACGACTCCTAAATAAGGAAATAAATCAGAGCATCATCCAATGAAAATTTTTGATTTCATGATTACTGAATTATCATATGGAGAAACTTGCGTCAAATCCGGCCCATATGATAAGATAAATTTGTCATCTCAATAACATCTAGTTTACTGATAATCAAGTAAATGTTTACTAGCTTTGAATAATTTCTATACTAAGTATTGAGATTTCTATAATTCCTGCATCGTACAAGGACATAATATTTGAATAACAATTTCCTTTTAGATATAATAAAATGGGTAAACGTAAAGTGGCGATCTACAAGGAATACTAAGATTACCCGGTGTTACCGCCTAATCGGGAGAGTCAGGCACATACGCCAATATAGCTCAGGATGGTAAGCAAAAATAAGATAGGAAATAAGATATATGTGTATACAATAATTGGAATAGTAAATAATCATTAAATCAAATAAACGTGCGATACAATACAAATATTACAAATTCAAGTTATACGAAATATTTATTATAAAGGAGGATCACTCAAAATTAACCTGAGGTACAGGCAAGACGAATTCAAAGGACTTTTATATATGAGAGAATTCCGCAGTGCGTGGAATGAATTCCCTTTTAAAGATTCGGGAAACTAACTACATAATACATGATGTCATTAGGGTCATTTATAAACTTCTACAACATTCATCACTTTAACATTCCCTTACACAACTCTCAATGAAAATGATACAATCAAGATCTTCTCATCAATCTCGCGGTACTTTCACAGCCATAATTGGAAGTAATCGCAATCGGACTATCAATGACTAAATTTCATACGCTTAGATCTTCTCATCAGTCTCGTGGTACTTTCACAACCATAATTGGAAGTAATCGCAATCGGACTATCAATGCTAAATTTCATACGCTTAAAGATCTACCCAAACAATAATAAGACTAGATAATTAATTATACGAATTATTATAATAATATGTTATGCGAAAAAGACAATTAAAGGAAAACTAGGCAATATAATAAGAAAAATAAAATAAAAAAAAAAATAAGAAAAACGATATTAAGGATATGTAAATGTTAAGGCGCAGAAAATTTTTGACATTCATAAAATCAGCTTAAACAATTCATAAAGGGTTGAACATTTTGTCCATTGGCATCAATGGATCCCAGGTCCATTGATTCCATTGGACCGATAAACAAGTAGTTTAAATAATTTATATAATGTATAACTATATACAGTCAACCCTCCATATATGCACCCCTCTTGGGACCGACCATAAGTGTGCATTTGTAGAGGGTGTGCATTTATA